AAAAAAAAAGTCAAAAACACTATGCACTGTGGACGGAACACAGTGAAGGGGGTGAGGAGAACGCTGTTTGGTTGTGAATCGTGGAATAGAAAAAGGAGAAGCCACGGCGGCAACTCCGGTGTGCCTCCCCCACCCCCGCCCACGTACGGTTGCTCGGCTTCTCTCGATGTAAACCAGGTCGTCGTGTTTCTCTCCCGCTGTGGCTGTTCGCCACTTCTCTCTCCCACGCGGCGCGGCGGGGCGAGTGTGTGTGTGTCGGTGTGCCTCCACACGTCGCCCAAGAAAAAGCACGCCGGTGGGCAGAACTCCCCCCTCCCTCAACAACAAAAAACACACACACGCACACGCACAGGAAGAACAAAAGGAAAAAAAAAGGGGAAACCGAACAAAAAAAAAACAAAAGGCCAAATTGTAAGGAAGGAGACACGAAGAAGAAGAAAAAGAACAAAACGAAAAGATGAAACAAATGCAGCTGCTGTGTGTGTGTGTGTGTGTGTGTTTCCCCACACGCCCCCACCAAGCCTGGGGGGGCGGAGGGGTGGTGGTGGCAGCGAGGCGGAAGAAGACGAACAGGCAACGGAGCAGACTGGAGGAACAACAACAACAATAACCAAAAAAGAAAAAGGAATGCGCAGCGTGTGCACTTCCTTCTTGTTGTTTCCTCTTCTCATTTGCTCTCTCAGTGTGTGCTCGCGCCACCAGAAGCGCTGTAGTAATCTGTAAACCAAGGAAATGAAAGTGCCACAGAACGGGATTCTTTTTTGTTTTTTGTTTTTGTGTTTTTTTTTGTGTTTTTTTTTTTTTTGTGGAGGCGGCGCCGCGGTGGCTCCCGCTGTCTGTGTCACGACGCCTGTGAAGGCAGAGAGAGAGAGAGAGAGAAGAGAAGAGAAGAGAAGAGAAGAGAAGAGAAGAAAAAAAAGAGAAGAGACTAGACAAGAACGAAGGAGGAACTGAGAAACGAAGGGGGGGAGCAGAGGAGCAAACAGCGTCAGCAATACCAGTAAAGGTAAAACCGGCAGAGACGGGGAGGCGTATATATATATATATATATATATATAATGAAGAAATGATACAAGTGGAGGCGGAGGCGGAAGAGAGCGAGAGTGAGACTCACTCGGGCCCCCACGGGGCGTCCCCGCCACGCACACACATACACACACCAATTGCTTAGAAATCACGGAAGGAAAACCAGCAAAAAAAAAGAATCTTTTTCTGATGTTGTTTTTTTTGTTTACTGTAAAGAGAAGAAGAAGAAAAAAAAACGATGTTTATGAGCGGCAACAGCAACAGCAGAAGACGGAGGGAGCAGGACCAACGCATGATGTATGGATGAATTCCTTTTTTTTTTTTGATCTCTTTCCCGTTGGCTTGTTTTTTTGGTTCGGTAGGTCCTCTTCCGCGTTTTCTTTTGTACGTTTCTTTTTTTTTTTTTGTTGTTGTTGTTGTTGTTTTTGATTGCATGTGTTTCTTTTCCTTTTATTTTGTTTTTCTGTTGTTGTTTTCTCTTCTTTTGTTTGTGCCTTGCCTCCCCTCTTCCCTCATTATGCCCCTGCCTCGCAGAGGACTCCGCTGAGCTGCTTCTCCGCCTTCCGCTGCTGGTGCGGCGCCCCGTGAGTCTGCACGGGTGCGGCTT